GCACCTCGCCCCCCAGGCCAGGAGCCTCGTCCGCGCTCCCGGGGAAAGCTGGATTTCCGAGGCTGGAGGCGCCTGGCCGGCTGGGTGGGGACAACCATGGGCAACGCGGCCGGCAGCGCAGAGCAGCCAGCGAGCCCCGCCGCGCTGTCTCCCAGGCAGCCCACGGCGCCCAAGCAGCCGATGCCCGCTGCCGGAGAGCTGGAGGAGAGGTTTAACCGGGTCCTGGTGAGTGTGACCCGCTGTGCGCAGGGCTCGGGTGGGGGGTGGCAGGGGCTCGGCGCGCGTCCCCGCCCCCGGGGGTTCAGGTACCGCTTAGAGATCCCCGGCCCGGTGGCGGCCCCTCCAGGGAGTGGGAGTGACAGTGGCTTCTTTCAGAGTGACTTAGCACTCTCCCCCCAAAACTTTCTTCTGCAATAGTCCAGTCTCCCTCCCCAAGACACCCCCCCTCCCCCCTGCGCTTCTGGGTCTAAAGGTCTAAACAAAAATGTCCCGTGAGGAAGTTAGGAGCAGAGTACGCAGGAGGGAGCCGGGCACCCCCTTCCCCACTGCACCCAGGCCCAGCCATCAGGTGCAGGTCTGGAGCATCATGTGTCTCAGGGTCAAAGATGGAAGGGGTTACATTTTAATCTCCTGGGAGGTGGAAACTGAGTAGAGGTGTTTGGTCCCGATTTGCTGGTGCCTGAGCTGCTGGGAGCTGGGTTGTCAGATCATTCAGATGGAGTGTCTGTGTTTCTCACTCCCTGTACATCTGGGAGAGGTTGGCTGCGGGTCCTTGTCTTGTTTTGTGCATCCCCTCCTACCCACTGGAGGGATTAAGGTTAGAAAGGGTGGGTTGGGGATGGGTTGGTCACTCTGGCTTGGGATGGAACAAAAGTCTGGAAGCCCCCTGCCACATTGTCACCTGCTCCAGGGAATTGGGGGGCTTGGGGACTAGGCCACTGGGGAGGAAGCCATCAGCTCAGGCTGAGCCTGGAGCCAGTTAGGATGGATTTGGTGGGTGGGGGCTACAGAGCAAAAATCAGGGTTCCCTAAGACCTCGTAGAAGAAGGGGGGAGGGGCTACTCATTCTCACTTCCCTCTCCCTACCTCAGCCCTGTCCCAGGCTCCCTTCTTTAACTAATTGCCTGGTGGCCTGTCTGCTGTCAACTCCCTTGCCAGACCCTGGGTGACAGGCAAATAAGGCCGTGCTTTTCCCCAGAGGCACTTCCAAGTCTGAGCAGCCTGGCACTGCAGGTCTGAGGGTGGGGGCCCGAGGGAGGCACAGATAGCAGAGCAATACAGGCTGGTGACAGTGCTCAATTTTTCATCCCCTCCACCTCCTTGACATCATTTCCCCTCCCCTGGCCCAGTAGGCCAGATTGCATGGCCCTTCCTAACAGTTCCTGGAAATCTTGGCTGCTGCCCCCTCCCAGGAGGAAGGCTAGGGAGATATGGAGGAGCTATGGAGTAGGATGGGGTCTGATCCTTCCATGTGAAGGTACCTGGCTTGATTAGGGGAGAGGGAGGGACTCTGAAGGACACCTTACGCCAGGCTAGGCTCTGAACACCCCATCTCCACCTGCTTTCCTTTCCCCAAATCCAGAGCTTGACAGAGCTGAGCTAGCTGAGCAGATGGGGGAGGGGAAGAATGAGGAGAGAGTCTCCAGAAGCATCTGGGAAGCCTGAGTTGGTGGTGGATCCCTGGACCCTGGCCAGCCTGACTTGGGGGACACCAGGCTGTCTTTCCCCTTAACTGTGTGTCTGTGAATGGGGCGGGCTGGGTTCTGAGGGTGAGGTCCAGGCCCCAGCCTGTTCTGTGTTATACACACACTAATGGGGAAGAGCTGTGTGAATAATTCAGACCACTGGAAAATCCAAAAGTCAAGTGGTGAGGTTCTGATGCATGTGTAGGACTTGATTGCCCTGCTTGTGGGTTTTTTTGGCCTTAAGCTGTGATTGGCTGAGACTGACACTAAATGCCACTGGAAGTCCCTGAGAACCAGGGCGTGGAGGGTGGAGGCCCAGAGATGGGTCTGAGGGTGTCCTGGTGGAGAAAGCGGTGGAGGCTGGGCAGAAATCTAGGGCAGCGGCACCCACTGGGACTCATCCCCCCCAACCCACCCCCAGGAACCCAGCATGTTTACACTTCCCCCTTCTTCCTGGGATCAGCTTGTCCCTTGTCTTGTATGGGCAGTATCCAACTCAAGGTCGCTCGGCTAAGAACCTGGCTCCTCTCACTCCTCACCAGCAGGGACAGGAGCCATGACCCTGGGTCCCTGTCTGAGATTGACTGGGGCTACAGATTTGATTAAACCTACAGTCCCAGCAATGGGTATTCCAGGGAGCATCTCCATTTGAGCCCTGCCTCTGTGGCCAGAGCTGAGCCCTGTTCTCTGTGAACGTCTAAGAGGAGAAGAACCTCAGATTGCTAAGTGTGGGCCTACCACCCCCAGGGGTCCCCCAGTCTTGATGGAAGAAGCACAGCCCTCACCTTGGGACCTAGTCACATGGCCCCAGGGAACCTCTTCCTTGGACTTACACTCAGCCCTTTCATCCCTGGTGGGGAGTAGGATCCGGAAATTCCAAACCACTTCTTGGCTCCTGGCTTTGGGACTCCCTTTGTGGGTGAGGGGTGCCCTGACCAAGGCCCACAGTCAGACAGGAGATGAGGGAGCTTGTTCACCCTTTCCCGATGGGCAGCCTTTCTCTCATGCAAGGGTTGGTGGTGGGGGTGACTTTTCAAGGAGGCTGTAAGAGAGAGGAGCGCCCTGTTTAAAATGGGGGTGGGGAGAAAGAGCAGGTTGAGCCAGGGTTTCTGCCTGCTGCCTTAGCAACAGCAGAGGAGTGATGGCTGCCCGGCGACTCGGGTGGGAAAAGCAGCCCGCCAAGCTAAGCGCTCGCCTCTCCTAGGCTGTGCTGCAGGATGGGTGTCTCCAGCCACTTCAGGCCTTCCCTTGCAGGGTCAGGGTTTGGGATGGCAAGGTACTCTTTCCAGGCCTGCGGAAGTGCCGGGCTCATGGCCTGACCTAGGACACCCCTGATCTATCTGGGCGAGGAGGAGCCTGTAACCTTGGGGCAAAGGGCATCATGATTTTGGGCTGGAGGCTGAGTGATGCTGGGTCAAGAAGAGGCTGAACCACTTAGAGAGGAATTTACCTGATGGGGCCTAGCACCCTGGGGTGCCCTTGGCATGTGCCCAGGGTCATGGGCCCTTGGCCAGGCAGGCTGTGTAGGGAGGTCAGGACAGTCCTGAGCAGGTTGTGGATGATGAGAATCCTGCTTTCAGCTGGACCCCTTCCCTGCTGGGACTGAGACTAGTGAGGAAGAGGGAAAGTGGATGTCTCCTTACTGTTGGCTGAAGTGCTGCCTCCTGGACCAGCTGCCTTCTCTGGGGTGGGGCAGATGGAGTATGGGGGAATAGAGCCGTGGTGTCTCTCAGGCCCTGTGACTCCCATTTCTGAGGTCTTACCGGAGGATCCCAAAGGGGTTGTGGCCATGTGGTCAGAGGCTGGGCCAGGCAGAGGCTGTGGGGCGCCATTCCCAGTGGGCAGGGCTGGCACATGCTGCCCCTGGAAACCCGGGGATGTGGTAGGCATGATTCACAGTGACATCTGGGGCCAGCTGGCAAAGAGCTGGGTGAGATGGGCAGGAACAGGTGGGCCTGGGGACTACCTCTGCATTTTTCCTGGGAATGGGGAGCACTAGAAGGTGGCTCGGGCCTCCTTGCCTCTGAGAGGGGCAGAGTTTACTCACGAGAAAGGCAGGATTGCTTCCTGTGCTTTGGGGTCATGGAGTTTGGGAGTTGTGTTTTGTCTTTGCCACTTATTACCTGCGTGGCCTTGAGCAAGTTACCTACCCTTTCTGAGCTTCAGTTTTCCTCATGTGTAAAAAGATAATAAAAATGGTATATGCCAGCCTGCTAGGATTGTTGAAGGGATTAAACGGAGTTGAGGGGATTAAATAGATGGCTTAACACGATGCCTGACACAAGCAAGTGCTCGATAAACACCTTCCACTGTGAGGACGGGATGATGATAGAGCTGATCGGATTCTCTTCATCTTGAAGCCCTTCTAGGTGAAGGAGCCTAGACCATGCCTCTTCCCTCCCACCCCCTCTCCATTTCCAAGATCAACCAAGGGTGCCGTCTTTAGTCTTCAGCCATCACAGGCTAGGCTGCCCTCCCTACCACCACGCAGGTCAGCAACAGTAAGGCCTAGATGAAAACTGTTTGGTGGCCGGAAACCACGAGAGGGAGGGCCCAGCTCTCCTGGAGGGTGGGGCTGCGGCTGTGCTAACGGTAGCTGGGTGCACATGGGGAGGGGGTAGGGAGGCCTCCACTTCCCTCTGAGAGAGGGCGTGCTGGGGGGGGTTCCCCAGTGAGTAAGAGCTCAGTGTGGGCAACAACAGGAAATGTAGGGTACTGGGTGGCAGGAAATGGGGCTGGCTGTTCCTGGTTCCTCAGACAGGGGACTGGGGCCAGGCTGTCTGCAGAAGACCCCCAGGAGGCCGGGACCCCCATTTCTCATTGTCCTGAGGGCTCCTTCTTCCGAGAGAACTGAGTCTTCCTGCCAGCTTACCAGCTGGGTCCCCTCGGGCAAGTGACACAATTGCTCTGTGCCTCAGTTTCTCGTTTGTGAAATGGGGACTATAATAGTATCTACTTTGAAAAACAAAAACCAAACCCCAAAAAACAGAAACAAACAAAAATAGTATCTACTTTGTAGGCTTGTTGTTGAGGTTTAAATGAGTTCGTAGATGTAAAGCGCTTAGAATGGCGATATTTATTATTGTTATTGTTGTTGCTGTTATTCTCCTACCAGCCTGGATTATAAGGGCAGTGCCTGCTGCCCTGACTCCTACCCTGTTGCCATTGCCCCTGCCATGGGGACCCT